CAGCAGCTGTAGGCGGTAGTAGTTCAGGTGGGTAGCTGCGTCAGCATGCGTAGGCTGCAAAGGAACAAGTAATAGGTTTATTCCATGCTGAAAAAAGAAGAAAGAGAACACAACGTTTCGGCCGTGGAGCCTTCTTCAGGTGTGAGCTTCTGATTAGGCAATTGCACCAGCAGCCGAGACAGAACTGAGTCACTGTCGGACTGGCTGAGCTAGCCAGCCGTCTTAGTTACCGGCGAATATTCTGTGAGTTTGACACGCAAGTTTAGATGTGGCACGGAGGGCTTTCTGCAGTAGAAGGACAGTTGCACGCGTTACTGGGGATGACCCCCGGGGTTAGTGCGCAGCATCGTACTAAACTGCAAAGGAACAAGTAGTGGGTTTATTCCCTGCTGAAAAGAAAAGAAAGGAGACACAACGTGGGTCCTTTTTCAGGTGTGAGAAAGACAGGGTAGACGGCAGAGATTAAATAGCACAGGAGAACAAGAGCTGGAAAAGTGGTGGGAGAGGGGAGAGACAGAGAGGCCACTCAGGAAGTACGAAGTGGAGAGGGGTGGAGAAAGGTGTGAAGTCGAAACCAGCATGAGAATAGAGAAGATTACACGAAAATAAGTCTTTCATTGAGAGAAGGGAGAAGGTGTGAACCTAGTTTCAGGATGAGTCATTTTTCAGCTATGGGAGTTGAGAAACCCGTCTTTGAGAACGGAGACAGAGAGATCAGTGTGATCATGGCCGTCTGAGGTGAAAGGAGAAACTATGGGCTTGGAGAAATCTTTAATCCTCACAGTCCTAACATATTCTCTGAAGCAGTCTCCTAGTCTCCTTCCGGTTTCCCCAACGTAGATAACTGGGCGTTTTTTTGCGAGAGATACAGTAAAGGAGATTGCTGGAGATACAGGATGTTGTCTGGATGATCCGGAATTGACCTGCGGGGCCCTGAATGAGCGTGTTGTTAGATATGTATTTGCAGGTGATGCAGTGAGTCTGTTGCAGGGGAGGGTGCCTGGTGGGGGTGATGGCCGAGTGCGGTCAAGGGGAGCTGTGAACCAGACGTTTACATAGACTGGCTGGTCAGTGGTAAGAGATGATTGGGCGCTCGGAAAAAAGGGTACAGATGGAGGGATCGTCCTGTAAAATGGAGTAGTTCTTAATGATGGTCCTGGGGCTAGAAAGTGTGTTAAGTGTGTTAGATCGTCCTAAACTAAGCGCTAGGTAAATATCAGTTGCGCATTGGTTACCTTTGTGTGTCAGTCCTTGTGTTTACAGTGGTAAAAAGGGTGACTCTCAGGAGGATGGAGACACACAGCGTGTTTATTTACTCGGCTGTCTGAAAAACTAAAATTGTCCGAACAATTCCCAGCGCTGTGGAGCTACTGCAGGAGACAGTTAAAGAATGTGAGTTTTCAGCAGCTTATATAGAAGTAATGTTAATTTACTTGTAACATTGTGTCCTGCAGATGACTCGGAAAAAACTACTCAGAGTAGAGGGGTAAAGAACGGAACCAGTTAAGTAAAGGCTCTTCTAAAGAAGAAGGTTTTGAGTCTGGATCTGAAGGAGTTTAAAGAAGGTGACTCTCTGATATCCTTGGGGAGAGAGTTCCAGAGCTTGGGGGCATAACAGGAGAAGGCCCTGTCACCCATACAATGTAGATGGACTTGGGGGACAGTTAGGAGACCAGAATTTGAAGAGTGAAGGTTGCGAGGTGGGGAGTAGGGCGATAATAGTTCAGACAGGTACTGAGGTGCCAAGCCAAGAGCCTTATAGGTGAGAATGAGGATTTTAAAGTCTACACAGAATGTGACAGGAAGCCAGTGCAAGGACTCCAGAATAGGAGTCATGTGATCACTTGCGCTAGAGCTGGTCAGGATTCTGGCTGCCCAAATTTGAAAATACTGCAGTTTGTTCAATGGTGATTTAGATACCCCAGCGAGTAGAGCATTACAGTAGTCCATTTGGGAAAACACAAATGTGTTGATCAGCTTTTCAGCCACAGTTAGTGATAACATAGGGCGTAGTCTAGCGATGTTTCTGAGGTGAAAAAAAGATGTTTTGACAATATACTGTACAAGTGGGTCGAATATTAAGCCAGAAGCGATTATCGCCCCAAGGCTTTTCAATTTAGACTGAAAGTGTTAAAGGTTCTAGGTGCTACACCTGTTGTTAATTGTAGCCATTTAAATAAAACAGACCTAGGTAACTCCTGCCTTTGAGTTTTTATTCACTTCTTAAAATAAACACTTGCATTCATTTACTTGACTTTCCAGGACAACCTGCTGCTGTTTCAAAGATCCAAACAAAACCTGCAAGATTCCATCTCATGACTGATTATTCAGCATGAAGCTGGTTATCCTCTGAAATAAGTAGTAAACATTTGTGCAGTTTAGGAACAAAAATATAAAAAATGAATGCGGCTCAATTACAGGATAAGGTGCAAGTCATTTCAATCTGGTGTTGGAAGACAGGAATTGATAAAAAAATACTTTATTGAATGCCAGTTGATCAGTTTTCACAATATAAACATAAGAAAATCCATGAATATTAAATATCTTTATTTCAGGAAAGACTGTTACTGTTTCATAACATCAGCCATTAAAAATGTGAAATGTGAAACATACAGTATACATGAAAAGAAACCTTCTATGGTATAGAAAGGACAACCTTAAAAAAAGAAAAATGTTCAAAATAAAGAATAGTAAAAGCATTCTTCTTACTTTTATGGGATTTGGAGTCTTCAGCAATATTCTGATTTGTCAATCAAATCAAAATAACATTTTTCTATTTCAAAAGGATATGTTTTTGTGGGTTTTCAAAATGTTTACACAAAGATGCTTTATTTTGCAGTCTAAATGTTACACAGTTCTAAATAGATATAAAATATTTGGTTTTAAGAGAGCCTGCAAAGTAAAGCAAATACTGTATGTAAACACTATGGAAATATAGTGTTAATATAGTGCAGAATAAATACGAATTTGGATCTGATTTCCAGTCCCAACCGCTGGTGAGTAAAGTTTTTCTCACCACAAAATCAAGGTTATTCTGCTCCTTTTTTTAAAACAAGTTCTTTTGGTTTCTGCATGCAGCCAATATTTCTAACATCATGCTTCCAAAAGTAAAAAGGTAAAAAACCTAAATACACCATACTAGTGCATTTAGTCAAACACACCAATATATCTTTTGTAACATGCTGTATTATTTAACACAACTTTGGGGGATGGTCTAATGCTAAATGCACTTCTGCTCTCTTACGTACTGTATTATAGTACATACAGTACCATCACAACTCTGATCTTTTTTAGCTCCTCCTCCACCTCAACTTCACCCTTGCAGGAGCTCCCTGATTCATTTCTCGTACATGTTCGTAAGCCAGCGCTGCATTTCTTTAGCCAGAAGAGTTAACACCAGACTATCGAGCATGCTATCCTTTCTATTCATTGGCCCCATATGTTGTTATTAGAATTTGACAGAACTACTGAATGCAGGGCCTGTAGTGAAATTCCAAAGTGTCCCGTAATGGTGCCTCTGCAGAATCCCAGCTTTGTTTGGTTCAACAAAAGTTTATTAAACGAGCTTTAGGTCTGAAAGTGTTGTAGTCAATTCTGCACAGCAAAGAATTTAAAATCGTCCAATTGGATTCTAAACTTTCTCGAATTCAGCAGCTGGGTCACGTTCTTTTTTGCTTCCTGCACGATTTCTTCTCTGTTTATAATTACCTCGTGTGTTTTAAAAGCCTTAATTGCATTCCTCACATTTTGCTCTGTGTTAAGGAGGTGGCTGAGAGATTCAGTTTCAGCACAATTGCCATACTGCCAGTCCTGCCCTTTTGGCCATTCAGATGGTGGAGGCAGAAAGTTCACGTTCCGGAACATCCCGTGACACTTCTTGCAGGGGGCTTTCTCAATATTGTAGCCTGATTTTAGATCATATATATAGGCCTGGCATGTCACCCCGTCAGGAAATTTGATGAAGCCCCCTTTCTTAGCGTGACAGACGGCGTGTGCAACTGCATCATTCCACGTTTTGATGCACGAGAGTGCGATCATGATCTTAGTCTCTACTTTACCGCTGCAAGAAAGAGACGCTCCATAATTAAACCCTTTCTCTGGTGTGCAGAAGTAGGACATGCAGATGACACTGGCTGTCAAGCTGTAGTTATTTCCAAATTGGTTGTCTTTGCTTTTCTCAGTTAATTTTTTCTTCACCTCCTCCACTTGGCTCAGTATAGTTCTGTGATCTGTGTGACCCTTCACCTTTGATACCTTCAATTAAGAGACACAAATAAGGAAGTATTGTTACTACGCTGAAGTTATAATTGGGTATTAGGATGGAATTTATTCTATGGTGGACACATTTTCTGTACAAAAGAACTTAACAGATTTCATTAAAGCTTTAGGCATCAAATATGTCGCTGTAAGACGTGTATATTCTGTGGTTAAGCACTAAAGGGGAAAACTACATATATAGTAAATTAATCAAGAAATAAGGAATACTTAAAAATTATTAGTATAAAAAGAATGAATAATGACAATAAGATTCACAAACTTAATGAAGCATTCTCCATGACCACTTCGATCAAATTAAATAAATTCTATATTAAATCATAAAATGACTAATTGTATACTGACCATATCAAGAAGGATGGAGAATGGTGTGCGTTTTGGCAGATGGGTGGAGTAGTGCTCGAAAGGCTCTGGAAACTGCCTCTTAAATATCTGAAACAGTCTGTCGTTCTGGAAGAAGGTCTTGGGATTAATGGGCATTTCATGGATGTGCCCCAAGAAGAATATACAGTGAAGAACCTGGTTCAATGAGAACATACAAGCAGAGAAGGGTTATAATGCAAAAGAAACGAATGGTTAACTTTATGCACTGGCATTGGGTAACATTAACAAGTGTAGCACTTTTCGTTGTCACTAGAACCCTCACTTCTGCACATTCCTTTTTTGTGAGGCCTTGTGATCCACAGCGCTGACTGTATATTAACACACAGCTACTCAATTCATGACACTGTGTCAAAAAAATAGCCCTTAGCAAGGGTTTAGCAGCTGACAATAAGAAAGACATTAATCAAAGAGCAAAAATCTAAATTCCACTTTGCTGCTGTTAAAATTAATTAAATTAATGAAGGATTTAAGTTATGCAGGCATATTTAGTCAGCTAAGCAAAAAATCAGATTTTAGTTAACAACATTAAAGTAGCTTTAAATCTAGTATCACCTCAGCCATGTAAGCCATCAGAGTCGCTACAGACACATCTGCATTGCTTTGGATATTTTCCTCTAAGGCTGACAGCACTTTCCAGAACACCAAGATGAAATCCGTTCCACTTTGCACAAGTCTCTGCTTAACTTCTTCTTTATTTTTCTGAAGCTTACAATTTTTCATCAGTGCCTCCATTCTGAAAGAAGTAAAACAAGCAGAGCAGATCATCATGAGCTCCATCATGCCTGGGATTCTTAGGTTTTGACAAAGATGGGTTTAAAATATCTGAATTACCTTGAAGGGGAATGTGCATCAGCTTCCTGGGGATTGTCGTTCTGTTCCACAAAAAGAATATGATATAATTATAAAAGTTTCCAGTAGGTGGATTAGGTCAGAATGAATGGGATAGAGAGATGAAATGTGTAGGGTGTATTTGGCGTGATTTTACGAGCTGAGGCAATAGCTATGAGGAGTAGCCTGCCCATACCCTCCCTCAATTTTGAGGAATGAGCCAGGGAGGTGCTTCAGAGGTGTAGAGGTGAGAGTAAGCGCAGTTAATAATAATTACAATTGCTTACACTTATATAGCGCTTTTCTGGACACTCCACTCAAAGCGCTTTACAGGTAATGGGGACTCCCCTCCACCACCACCAATGTGCAGCATCCATCTGGATGATGCGACGGCAGCCATAGTGCGCCAGAACACTCACCACACATCAGCTATCAGTAGGGAGGAGAGCAGAGTAATGAAGCCAATTCAGAGATGGGGATTATTAGGAGGCCATGATTGGTAAGGGCCAATGGGAAATTTGGCCAGGACGCCGGGGTTACACCCCTACTCTTTTCGAGAAATGCCCTGGGATTTTTAATTACCACAGAGAGTCAGGACCTCAGTTTTACATCTCATCCGAAGGACGGCACCTGGTTACAGTATAGTGTCCCCGTCACGATACTGGGGCATTAGGACCCACACAGACCACAGGGTGAGCGCCCCCTGCTGGCTCCACTAACACCTCTTCCAGCAGCAACCTTAGTTTTTCCCAGGAGGTCTTCCCATCCAGGTACTGACCAGGCTCACACCTGCTGAGCTTCAGTGGGTTCCCAGTTGTGAGTTGCAGGGTGATATGGCTGCTGACCAAGTTAAGATCTCACCTTCCTCCTTAACCTCCGTTACAAAATCAATTTCTTTCAAAAGCACCAGAATCTTGTAAATGAGTTTGCAAGGCTCCATAAATTGCCGAGTTATTTTGTTTTATTAAGAGTTCAGATCTTAGGATTACAACAGTAGATAGAGGTGAGGTGTTTAGCAGGTCTACATTGATATAGGGAGCTACCACGAGAAAATTAACACTATCTTAGGTGATGTGCCACTTTACATTTGTTCTAGCGCCAACAGAAAAAAATGTCATGCTGAATAGCTAAAAGAGAAATGGCATCAGGAGATGTTGATATCAAAGAGAATACTTACATTTTCCATGAATGTTGTCAGAATGTTCCAAATAAATTTTAAAAATGTATTCCGTTAAGGCTGTAAAATAAAATGCATTTATATCATTGTGATTTGGAAGTGTCCTATCATGTTTCACTGAGCTAACATTAGATGATTACAGCAGGGCTGTATTACCCAGTTGGCACAGTAACCACTATTCCTAGAGCCTAGGAGAAGTAAGGGGTTTATGGCAAATCATGTTTTTTTATATGATAAAAAGGTAACAAAGATCTCTTCTTGAATATAGTATATAGCAAGAACAGGCTGCCTGAACAACCACCTACCCACAGAATTGATAGCCCCCCAAAACAAACTATATCCACGGACGGGCCTATAAGGAAATTAATCGGCCCTGTTTTAAAGGAGGAAAACAGAAGAATTTTTCTGGCATGGTGCAATAGCTGAAACTAGTTTTTTTGGTGCTGAATTACCTGAGTCGGTAATTTCATTGCTTTAACGTTGCTTGTTAGTAACTGCCGTTTATGTATCAGATCAATAAAACTAATGTTATACATTACCAATAAGGCTTTCTGTATTTCTTTTATAATATAGTGAATACAGCTCGAACGCAAATTTACTTGATTCGTCGTTTTGCAGTTCCAAACATTAAAAGAAGTGTGGTTTTATATTGTACTCTTAACTATTCTATTTGGTTACATACGGTAAATCTATCTGCGGCTAAAGTAGCGTAAAATATTTAGTTCGAGAAACTAGATGGACTGCGCCCAACCCTAACAATGAAGAATCAACAAGACTTACATAAAAAGACTATGCGGAAATGTTGTATACTGTAGTTCCGATACTTTTCACGACAAATTTACTCGAACAGCGCTGAGCTGATATGCTGATGAGTTTTGTAAAAACGATTTACCTGACGAGTTAAAAGGTTTAACTCCGAAACGTTAAACGATCGCTCAGTCCGTGTTCATAAAATTTCAACTTGATCTGCAACGCAAACTTTTTTGCACACGTGTCACATCAATATTTCTATTCATGTATTGTTACCTTCTAAGAACCAACCCAGAGAATATAGTAGGATAGACATACCTTGTCTACCAGGGGAGAGGAAATTTTAAATCCAGTTTTCCCGAGATTAAAATATGGTCGTCGGTTTCCTACAGAATATAGATAACTAATAAGAAAAAAAATCTAACCCAACTAACTTTAGCACCGCCTTCTGACCATTAAAGTGGGAAACGAAACTGGAAGATACAAGATACTGTCAAAGCGTACCTTCCGATAATCATCTTTTTAAAGAGGTTTTGAAGTTGTATGGTGCTATAGTATAAAGTACGTTTTGTAGATTTTCATGTTAAACTTGCTAAAATCATGTTTCCATTTTTTTATATTCCATTCCATCCACTTTTAAACATAACATGTTTTCATAAAGATAAATAATGGACCCATATAAAATGACAGCGCTGGAAATTAAACCTTTAAACATAAAATACACTCAAGTGCGCTCTTGATCGCGGAAATTCAGGATTTAAATGCGGGCATTCTGTCTGTCAAAAGTCATCTCCGTCGCCGAGGAGCAGACTGCAACTCTCAGCATTTATTGTTTTACTCGTTTAATTTTTCACGGGTTGTATACCGAATAAACGGTGCGCTAAATCGACTGACACTGTGAGCGTCAAGAAATCGTTTAAAAACAAGGAAATTGGCCAAATAAAATATCCAAAAGTGATTTTTTTTATGTTCTCCGATCAGATTAAATGTATTTAATGTAAAACTCCTTTCCTCAACGTGTTGTTTATAGCCAAACTACAGCACTCGAGCTCTTGGGCGGTTCCTCTGAAACCATGTCGGAAACTAAAAAAAAAAACTGTCGGTACAGATTCCGGAATCGAAATCGAGGTCCTAAATAAATGGAGATGTTTACATCTACGTGTTTTAAATCTTAAACCAATTGCAAATGATTTAGGAATAGATCAGTGTATCCCAATACTACACTACACGTCTCACAAGCTCTTTCAACTTTACAGCACTTTCCATCCTGTTTAGTTTTACAGAGGACTTCCTACGGCATTGAATGTTTTAATCAGTGAAAGTACTGAAGTTAAGAATATAAATTATAAGGATATGAACACTAATGACCTTAGCTTGGAAATTCATAAAACGTCTTGGATTAATTGTTTTTTTTAACGAACATGGAGTAGGTCAACAGGGAAAGAATATTTAATGAACCACTGAGGTAAATGACAGGTACAGGCTTAAACGGTAGACACCATATACAGTACATTTATATAATTGTAAAGGAACAGGTAAAGCTTTACGCCACGCTGAAAGGAAGAGAAAAGAGACACAATGTTTTTTTTTACACCTGATACAACCCGAAGAAGGCTCCACAGCTGAAAAGTTGCGTCTCTTTTTCATTTTCCTTTCAGCATGGAATAAACCTTTACCTGTTCCATTGCAGGCTAGGCCTGCTGTCGCACCACCTACAGTACTTGAACTTCTTCATATGATCGTAGCTGGATCCCGCCAATACGGGGTGAGTGATAACACGCAATCAAGGAATCACCATTTTCTTACTCAGAAAGTGGGAAAGTGGATCACATCTGCCCCCCTACAAACAGCACAATGTAGCCCACCGCGACCAGTAGTGCTCCGTTTGTGCGGGTTGTTCTGGGTGAGCAACTTCACGGAACTGCAGTAATCAAGGTAACGGAGAAACGAGAACAAAACCAGCAAAACACATACTATTGCATGTGAATAACCACAATTTTCAGGCGACCAGTGTCATTTCTGTAATACCAAAAGCAATCACGCTCCATACCGTGTGTAACTCTCGGTATCAAATTACAGTATGTCGAGTTGGGTAACATTGAAAATGCGGCAGAAAGAGGGATACGGGTATATTAATTAGTTACAAACGTAAAAAAGGCCATCCCGGCTTTAAAACAAATTAAATCCTCAGTAAAAAACTAACGTAATGATCCATGTAACTGAACGTGGATCCTCTATAATGTTGGGAATGCAGGAATAGCCTGATTAAGGTCGCACTGTTACTGAGCACAAAGACTTCCGCGGCCCATAAAAGGACCGAGGACACGTAAGACTACC